CCCCTGGGGAGGTCTTCTGAGTCAGAAACTGTGCTAAACATTCTTTCTGGGCCAGCGCCCCATGGCCCACTGCCCAACTATGCCAGGCCACTGCCGTGGCTGCAGTCTTGTCTGGAAGCGAGAGGAGATGGTGCATCAGGAGTCAGGAACCCCTATACCACCCATGGGAGGCCCTGGGCAGGCCTCCCTGTGCCCACTTAGGGCGTGGGCTCTCTCAGGTAAGGGGCGACATAGTTTGAGGGTCTGGGGAAGCATCCAGGAGCCCTGCACGTGTGGCCCCTGACTGTGCACCAGCCGAGTCTCGCCCACCACACGGCCGCTGGGACCTTGGCAGTCCACTTGGGCCAGAGCCTCGCCACGGCAGAAACATGAGTGTGTGTGGTTGGGTGTGCCCACTCAGAGCCAAGCCTGTGGCACAACTGGTCACTCCCGGCCAGCCTGGGTGGCCAGTCCTCTCCGGTGGCCTTCCCACTCGGCCCCAGCAGACACGGCTGAGAGGGATGAATGGGGCAGAGTGAGGCGGGGAGAGCCAGCAGTTCAACACCAAACGGCTTTAACGTTTTTTAAAACTCAGGTCTTTACCCAACGTTCGTATACAACAGTGGTTCCCAACCTTCTTATGGCCATGCCCCACCTAAGCATCTCTAAAATCCCAATGCCCCCACCGTGACATATTAATCCTTATTATTCAAAAAGTGAACTCCTATTCATGTGCAATGTGGAGGAAGCCTCAAAGGCCATTCACTTGGTCGAAACAAGCTTCCAAAGAACGTGGCATCCATGAAAGAGAAAAAGAAAAGAACGAAAGGGCAGTTGAAGTCTGAGGAAGAAGTTACTAAAAAATTGTTAAATAATAATGAAATAATATGAAAGAATAGCAAATAAAATTTCAAAATGTAATAGAAAACTGAAATGCATACAGATGTCATAATATATATGTATATACTGTATAAGAAGACCCTAGAACAGCTGTGGGCAAACTACGGCCCGCGGGCCGGATCCGGCCCGTTCGGCTGTTCTATCCGGCCCGCGGAGCCGAAAGAGCGGAGGGTTCTCTTGCTCTCCCCTCCGCTCCTTCACCAGCAGCAGTGTTAACATGTATTAGTTCACACAAACACTCCATCCATGCTTTTGTTCCGGCCCTCCAGTCCAGTTTAAGAACCCACTGTGGCCCTCGAGTCAAAAAGTTTGCCCACCCCTGCCCTAGAACCATAAAAAATGCAAAAAATTCACTGTTAATAACTCATTCTTGAATTTCCCCCCTTAAAAATCAAATTGCCCCCGTGGGGTATGTGCCTCACATGGGGAACCACTGGTAAAAAAGCTACACCACTCTAGAACCTTCCAAGGGAGGAAGATCCTCACCCTGCTTTTCGAAGAACCACCTGACCCAGGTTGTCTATGATGGGTGGGGTCCCCAGGCTACATCCACTCAAGAACAACCCTGGCCCTAGCCGGTTTGGCTCAGTGGATAGAGTGTCGGCCTGCAGACTGAAGGGTCCCAGGCACATGCCTGAGTTTTGGGCTCGATCCCCTATAGGAGGTGTGCAGGAAGCAGGCAATCAATGATTCTCATCATTGATGTTTCTATCTTTCTCTGAAATCAATCAAATATATTAAAAAAGAAAAAAAAAAGAACAACCCTGGAGGCTCCGGAGGCGTTGCCAGCACAGTGCCACCTCCCACAGGTGTGCGTGGCAGAGCCACCCTGTGTGCTGCCTGGACAGGTACCTTTCAGCATCTTCACGGCCACAGTCGTGTACCCAGCTTTGCCTTTCAGCCGGAAGGCTGTTGCCTCGACCACTTTTCCAAATTCGCCTTCTCCCAGAGTTTTTCCAAGAACCCTGGGGAAGCATCCAGGAGCCCTGCATGTGTGGCCCCTGACTGTGTACCAGCCGAGTCTCGCCCACCACACTGCCGCTGGGACCTTGGCAGTCCACCTGGGCCAGAGCCCAGCCACGGCAGAAACATGAGTTTGTGTGGTTGGTGTGTGCCCACTCAGAGCCAAGCCTGTGGCACAACTGGTCACTCCCGGCCAGCCTGGGTGGCCAGTCCTCTCCGGTGGCCTTCCCACTCGGCCCCAGCAGACACAGCTGAGAGGGGTGAATGGGTTTCACCACTAACACTTACATATCAATAATCTCTCCAAATATAAATGCTGTTCCCCACATTTGCCATGTTTTCACCCACGTTGTCTATGAACAAAGCTATCTTGCAAACTCATACTCATTCCTCAGGACCCAACCCCTTCCGTAAATCGCACACCGTTAAACACTTGCTTGCAAGAGGAGGGGGAGTCTAAGTGTGGCTGACTCTCCACAAGTCCCCACCCCCGCCCCTGGACACAAGAAGTGCGGTGTGCCACACGCTGTGCACCTTGACATTGGGATAATGCTGCAACAGACAACTCGCTTTATTAATTTCCGGGCTGAGAAATGTAGGCTGTCTGCGGCTCTACTGCCCTCTGTTGAAACAAAGTGGTTGAGACACCCAGTTTTCAAGTAAACTAACGATCGGAGTGTTTTAGCGCCAAGAGAGTGAGGTGGGTTCAGGAGCTAAGAAGCGGGCGGCGGGAGGGGCTGGCTTTAAGCCACTGCTCTGCTCGTCCGCTTGGGTGACTCCTGACCGCAGACCGTGGCAAGCAGAGGCCTGCTTCCTTCAGCTGCGTCCGGCTTTAGGCCCCGGTGAGGAGGGGTCTGAGGTAGAGTAGAACATGAGGGGTGAGCCCTGGCTGGTTTGGCGCAGTGGATAGAGTGTCGGCCTGCAGACTGAAGGGTCCCAGGCACATGCCTGAGTTTTGGGCTCGATCCCCTATAGGAGGTGTGCAGGAAGCAGGCAATCAATGATTCTCATCATTGATGTTTCTATCTTTCTCTGAAATCAATCAAATATATTAAAAAAGAAAAAAAAAAGAACAACCCTGGAGGCTCCGGAGGCGTTGCCAGCACAGTGCCACCTCCCACAGGTGTGCGTGGCAGAGCCACCCTGTGTGCTGCCTGGACAGGTACCTTTCAGCATCTTCACGGCCACAGTCGTGTACCCAGCTTTGCCTTTCAGCCGGAAGGCTGTTGCCTCGACCACTTTTCCAAATTCGCCTTCTCCCAGAGTTTTTCCAAGAACCAAGTTCTTCCGGGGGAACTCCCACTTTGGGTCCTCCTGCATTGGGGTTGAAGGAAGGAGAAGAGGGGAGGGGAGGAAGACGGTGAGGGTAAGAGAAGGAGAATAAGGCAAGAGCCGTGAACAAGTCCCAGTGGATGAGTCCGATGTGCAGAGAACTGACTGTGATCTGCACCAGCAGGGGACAGTCACCCACGTCCCTAAGGGCAGGACTCCACAGCTGGGCCCAGAGTGCCATGCCATGACAGGCCTCCACCAGGCCAGGCAGCTGTTGCCACAGACTGGCCTGGACTCTCCGGATGCCTGTACCCTTACTGGTCCCAGTTCACCGAACATGCCCGGGGCCACCCGGGGCCCGTGTCCTCGTCTCTCTAATGAGGTGTGTGTTGAGGGCTCACTGAGCACGACAGGTGCTCACGTGGGAACATGGCCTCTTCCCTGGGAGCCAGGCCCAATCCTCACAGCACTGCTTCCGCTTTGGACACCAGGCCCACAGGCCCTGACTGGGCTGAGCCCAGGTCCTGGCGTGCCCTCTCCAGAGATGCCAGGAACCCCCAGTGGCCCAAGTCACTACGGGTGGAAGTGTCCAGAGCAACTTCCTGGCAGCCTGTGTAAGAGGCTGCCCCTCCCCCAGAGCCGGCCATCGCTCTGAGCCTGCACACACCCGCCTGTCCTGTTCCCCTCACACACACCCCGCCCACACACTCAGGACTCTCGAGGGTGCCTTCTAGGCACCTTGCCTGGCTGTGCCCTGGGATTCCGACTGGGGATGCCCACGCCTGCCTGGAGCCTCCCCTCCCAAGTCCCCCTGCAGCTGGGTGTGGACGTGGCTTCTGGGGGCTGCTCACAATGTGCCTCACGGGGCTCGCCCGGCCCACAGAGATGACACCCTGAAACTCGCTGCCCCTGAAATGGCCAGAGCCAGGCTTTTTGATGTCTGGGTGCAGAGGCACCTCCTCTCAGCACCGTGGCGGTGGAAACTGAGACACTGCTGGGCGGGGCTGCACCCCCCACCTGCTACGTGACTGGAAGTAGGAAAGCTGGGAGGGAGGCTGCAGTGGCCGCTGCAGCTGGGAACCGCCTCTATGGCCCAGACCCTCACTAAGGGGCAAGCACCCCCTGGGTGGCTCCTCCTACAAACCCAGCCACCTCCCAGTCCTGGTGGTGACGGCCAGGACCACATGGCCCCTGGGTGCTGAGCTTCCTGCCTGAAGGTCCATACACTGAGCTCTCCCTTCCCAGCCTAGAGGTGGGACTTCTGTTCCCACACACCCTCCATTCAGCACTTACCTCCGTGGCCCCCAGAACTGTCTCCCAGCTCCTCAGGCAGTTCCCAGCCAGAATGCGAAGGGGCACTGCAGGCTGAGGGGAGACCTGGCCCTGAGGAGCACACGGTGACCACAGATTGGCTTCTCCCACTGAGAAGGGGACTTGGACGCCTACTGGCTCTGGCTGGCACTCTGTCAGCTGGCTGGTCGCAGAGCCGAGGGGCTGGCTCCACCAGCACAGGTGGCCCCCCACGCCTCAGAGGGGCTCCCCTCCCTGCTGCTGCCACCATCTCTCACCTGCACGGGGACGGCGCCTCATCCCGGACTCCCACTTTTGCACCCACCCTACAGACTCAACAGAGCATCCCGTGGAAACGAAAGCAGACCATAGACCTCCTCGGTTCAACCCCCACCCCAGGGGTCCACACTGCCCCGCGGGCCCCCCAGGTCCTTGGGCGTCGACGGGTGTAGCAGACTACCCTCACCGTATCCCCGGGCCCATACCTCAGTCCATCTGAATCAGCACCCGTCAGTCTCGCTCACTAAACTGCCTCTGTGCTCTCTGCCCGGCCCCTGCCCTCCCTGGAAGTCATTTCAGTGAAGGCAGCAGGTTGCTGGACACTCACATGAGCTGCCTGTGGGTTGCAGGACAGCACCCCCTCCCCCAGTGCAGCCCTCCCCTCCGCAGCCTTCCGGGAGCCCCACCTGGAACCTCACCGGGATCTTGAAGGCGTCCACAGAGACCTGGTTCTCCATGGAGTCCAGCGAGGGCCGCCGGGCACTGGAGGAGGAGTAGCTGATGGGGAAGTCCTGGGCCGGCTGCTGGACAGTCATCTCGCCCGAGGCGATGGGCGCCTTGTGGGCGTTCTTGTGGTAGCGGTGGATGCAGAAGGTGGACAGCAGCACGGAGATGATGAAGAAGAACACGGACACCGCGATCACCGTGCAGCACAGCTTCTCGCACAGCGGGTCTGCGGGCGGGGCGGCCGTGAGGAACAGCCTTGGAGGGCCCCCCCAAATCCCAAGGGGAGACGGCACGGCACAGTCGCCCAGCCTGGAGAACGGTGGCTGCTGTGACGAACTGTGAGCGGCTGGTCAGTGCTGCTGGCATGGGGGCGAGGATACCCAACACTCCAGGAGTGAGAGAGGCACAGAGTGTGTAAGCCGCCTGCCCGAGGCCACACAGCAGAGGCAGTGCACACCATGTCGTCGGGTGGGGGGCAGGGGGTGAGGGAGGGGGCGCTGCACTGCAGTCAGCTGGCCTGGAGGGCTGTGGGAGGTAATGCCCTGGTTCCTGATGTCTTTGTGTTTTTTTAATAAAAAGTGAGGGCAGGAGAGTGGCTCAGGACCTGGGGCCATTCAATAACAACTCGAATGCCAGAACAGAAACGTGTCCCTGGGCCCATGTGCTCAGTAAGCCGTGCCGCCCACCACACCTGCTGCCCAGGAGGAAGCACCGGAGGCTCTGGCTGGGGCAGCTGCGCCCCAGCTGGACAGCGCTGGGCCCAGCCAGGCCCTGCATGGGACAGTCTGAGCAGCCACGGAGTTATTTGGAGGGAGGACTAGTTTTCCAGCCCAACCCTGTTGTGTAATTTTGGGCTATAAGGCACGACAGGGAGGCCCTGACCTAGCTCCCTGCCTGCAAAGATGGGGGCCAGAGGCCCAGGGGGATGGAGGAGGGTCTCCGGGGTGACTGCTTCCCTGCAGTTCCCTCCCTGGCTTGTGGGGAGGTGCGGGGAGCCCTGCCCCATGTGTCCCCTCCACTCACCCTGGCTGTCCTCCGGCTCACAGAAGCACTTCTTCTCCTCAGGGAAGCAGCTGCAGGTCCCAAAGCCGGCTTTAATCCCCCAGCGCTCCCCTGGCTCATGCCCCCCAATGATGCTGCCCCCTGGTGACAAAGGAAGCCACTCAGCCTTCTGGTGGCCTGACCAGCCAGGACCACCCAGAGGAGTGCAGGAGGTCCCTCCCTGCCTGCCTGATGTCAGCTCCTCAGGCCTGGGGGTGGGGGTGAGTCGGGGAGTGAGCTCAGAAGTCCAGGGCATCTGGACAGGAGCCTCAGCATGACCTGTCCCCAAGCCGGTTCCCTGATCACCGCAGGTGGGGGAGGAGCCCATGGGTGGCCCAGGGACCTTGCCAAGGTCCACACAGGGCTGCTTCTCAGAAGCGGAGAAGAGGCAGCAGGGGTGACCAGCAGATTGGGGGCAGGGAGCTGCAGCCCTGAGTGGCCAGGGTGACACCGGGTCAGGGCACCTAGCTCCAATTTTTGTTTTGAGGGGGGCAGAGCCCTTCATTCAAATAAAATGTGTGACAAAGGTGGGCACATAAAACCCAGGAATGTGGCTGGTCAGGCTGAAGTGCAGGGGGGAGCCCACCTCCCCAGGGCCCCGTCTTGGCTGAGGCTGACTGGGCAGGCCCAGCGGGTGGCTTACGGAGGCAGTCCTGGGGGCAGATGTGGGGATTGCTGCTCTCCACGGCATCACAGTGGCTGTCGGGGCAGGTCTTGATGCTGGGGGAGCAGGTGGAGAAGTTTCTGGAGATCCCTGTAACACACAGTGCGTGGTCACTGCCCTGCAGGAGCGCCGCCCTGGTCAGCCTTTCAGATTCAGAGCCCGGCGGGCGGGCGGCACCCCAGGGCCTCTCGGGACAGCCCAGCCCCCCCAAGGTCTGAGCAGTGAAAATCCACACAGGCAGCCCTGGCCAGGGGCTCAGTCGGTTGGAGCACCACCCCGTACGTGGCCGTGGGTTCTATCCCCAGTCGGGATGGGTGTGGAAGGCAACTGATCAATGTTTCTCTCTCGCTCCCTTCCTCTCTAAAATCATCAAAAACATGTGCTTGGATGAGGATTAAAAACCCTACCCATACAGCCCCACCAGCAGGGGCATCCCTGAGAAGTGCCTGGGGGTCCTGAATGGATAAGGACAGGTAGGTGGTGAGGGATGGAGGGGCTGGGCCTCCCCAGGGCTGTGTCGGCCTCACGCCCAGAGGACCAGAAGCCAGACAAGGCGAGCTCCCCCGCAAGGCTGCACCAGCAGAGCGGTCCTTGTAGTGGTGGGTGCAGCTTGGAGTTGGCTGCTGTCCCCTGCCTGGGGATACACTGCTTGGTCTGGGGCCTCCCAGGGAGAGCCAGGGTCCTGAATGGATAAGGACAGATAGGTGGTGAGGGATGGAGGGGCTGGGCCACCCCAGGGCTGTGTCGGCCTCACGCCCAGGGGACCAGAAGCCAGACAAGGCGAGGCCCCCTGCAAGGCTGCACCAGCAGAGTGGTCCTTGTAGTGGTGGGTGCAGCTTGGAGTTGGGCCAGCCCCAACCATCTTTGTTCCCTTGGTAATGACCAGCCTGAATGTCCTCATGCCACCCACACCCTGAACGCATGCCCACCTCCTGGCATCAGGAGCCCTGGATGGGGACAAGGCTCTGGGAAAGAGATGAGGCATGAGAGAGATCCGCACAGACCCCATTTCCACTCAGCCATCACTACCCCCGTTGGCTGCCTGGCCGCAGGCCCCGGCTCTGTGTGGTGCCTACCTTTGCCGTGTCCCTGTCTCCACTCGCACCTGCCTGTCAGAGAGCCCAGGCCACCGCACTCCTCACACTCGGACCGCCTCTTGCTGATGGCGCAGGACAGGGGGCCGCCTGGG